AATTGTGCAGCATTTTAGCAAGCACCTTTGGAAGTCCATGTACACCATATTAACAGCATTATCATGATCGACCTTTTTTGTTGCCTTATCCAAACTCGTTCAACACAATTCTGTGCTAGATTCCTAACTAACCCACACTTTTCCAAGTAACTGTTCATTTTCTCCCATTAAACTATTTCTAACCACCAAGATTAAACCAACTGACTCGTAGTTACTCAGTTTATCCTTATACACTGCTTTGAACAATGGTGTAACATCTGTAATTCTCCAGTCATCTGCCACCATATCTACATTGGAGGATTGGAACAATATGGCCCGTGCTCCCCAATTTTCTCACTTACAACCCTCGGTATCCTTGGACCTATCCCAAATTGTCCTGCAAAATTGCCTCTCTGCTCCTATGATGCTGCTTGGCCTGCTGTGTTCATCCAGCCCTGCACCTTGTTGTCTCGGATTCTCCAGCATCTGCAGTTCCTACTATCTCATATCATTTTAAGTAGTTAGTTTTTCAAATGCACTTTTCTAAATATGGTCTCATCTAGCTTCTCCTTCACTTAAGCAATTCTAAAAAAAAGTCATATGAATCTTGAAACTAACTCATTTTCTCTCTCCACAGATGCTGCCAGACATGCTGAGTTTCTCCAGCATTCTTTGTGTTGTTCCTCCTTCACTAGACTTAGTCATTATATTCTTCCTAGGCAAAGAGAGATGCAAAAGACTCATTTGATAACCCAGTCATTCTTGCTGCTTTCATGCATCAAAACTTCTTTTGGTCCCTTCCTTTTAAAATTTGTATGAAAACTGAAAAGACTTTTTAGATTCCCCTTTACTTCAGCTGCCAGTCCCTTCTCACACTCTCTTTTTGCCTCTTGTTTTCTTTTAAACTTCCCCTTTGTACTTTCTATACCAACCCATGATTGTATTATTATCAACCTGACATCTGTCCTATGTCTTCTTTATCTTACCCTCTAACAATTTCACCTTTCCGGGAATGCCAAATGTGTTCTCCCTACTTTGTTCCCTTGTGGGAACATACCTAGACCGTACCTTAAGTATTTTTTCCTTTTACAACAACCCACTGTTGTGTTACAGTTTTGCCTTCCCACCTTTGAGTCCAATTTTCCTGGGACAGATCTGTTCTCATGTCACTGAAATTCACCCTCTCTGAATGAAGTATTTGTGCCCTAGGCTGCTCCTTGTCCTACTCCACAGCTAATCTAATTCTTACGGTACACAGTGATCAATGTTCCCGAAATGTTCCTCTGGTGACGTGATCCACTTGACTGATCTCATTCCTCAGAACCAGACCCAGTAATATCTTCTTCTCCTTTGGGCTGGGAATAAGCTTACTCACTGACCACACTTGAAAACCTTTCCCCCCTCTCTGCTCTTTGCTCTACCACACTGACAGAAGCTCCACCAGTATCTGAGGAAGGATCACCAGACCCAGAACGTTAACTCTGATTTTTTTCTTCACAGATGCTGCCAGACCTGCTGAGCTTTTCCAGCAACTTCTGTTTTTGTCACTGTTTTATTGTTTGAATCCCTTTGTAATTTTCTGACAAAACTGCTCCTCTAAATCCTTCCTTCTCTTGGAGTGGGATAGAATATACCCATTGGTGTGTAATGGGGCCTCTGCTACTTCTCACCATCTTTGTGTGACTGTAACATTCAATTGTGCTATTTCTTCTGGTTGTTAATATCACTGAGAAACTCAGTGAGTATAGGCCTTATGTCACTTACATTTTTTGCCTCCGGTTGTTGCCCCCTTACTGTATCATGTGAAAGCATTCAAAAACCACACATCACACATACATCACACAGACACAGACACAGACACAGACACACACCTGCAAGATTTGAGAAACTAATTACCTTTGTGTAAAACATACACATTTTTATTGTCTCGATTAGATTGAATCAGTGAGCAAATAACAAAACTGGCTGCTGTACAAGTATTTACAATTTGGACATTCCTGCTGACGGTTTGAACAAAGCCTGCTCCTAACATTAATATCTCTCTCTATGCCTGAATCGGGTGGGATCCACAATCATGTCTGAGATTGGACAGGAACATAAGGGTCAATGAAGCTGTTGGAATAGAAGCAGCAGCTCTGCAAGCATTGAACAAATATTAACAGAGAAGAAAGGAAACAAAATAGGTCACACCCTGGTCACGGAATCAGTAATGTGCTTATCAGAAATAAATTGTATGTGAAGATTAACAGGGTATAAATCAGCAATTAATAGCGAGAAAATATTGTGAGAAGGAAGCAGGTTTAAGGTACGGAGAGATAAGCACATCAGGGTCCCAAAATTCCTTTGGTCCTGTTGTAACTGAAGGAATCAACCCCGGCGGTGCCCCTGTGGAATGGCACCACCTGCACGTTACTGACTGCCAGAACTGAGGTCACCTGCCCATTGGTGGCAGCTTTCCAAGCATAACTTCACCTCGATTCATTCCTGTCATTGTTTCATTGACCCTTTGAGGAAATTTTCAGTTGGGTCACAATTAGAGTGAGTCATAGAGTTACAGACTGTTTGCAGTAGGGAGATACGCTGTGACATTTCAGCATGTTAAATCTAAATACTTCTTAAATGTCTTGAGGATTCCTGCCTCTATCACCCTTTTGGGCAACAAGTTCCAGGTATCCACCACCCCTGGGTGAAAATTCTTTTCCTCAAATCATCTCTAAACCTCCTGCCTTTTGCCTTAACGAAGTGCTCCCTGGTTATTGAACCCTCTAATATTGAGAGAAGTTTCTCCCTATCTATGCCCCTCATAACTTTGTACAGATCAGTCAGATACCCCTCAGCCTTCTCTGCTCTAACTGCTGGACATGGCTCTGGCCATGTTAGTAATACCAGACTTTAAAGCCACATAATTGTAGTGGAATAAAAACAAAGTTCTCCAGATGCTGAAGATTTGAAATAAGAACAGAAAGTGCGGGTAAAACTCTACAGACCTGGCAGCATTTGTAGAGTATGAAATGTTTCATATCGGACTCGAAACATGAACTGCCAGACCTCTCAGCTTTTGCCAGCACTTTCTGTTTTTAGTTGGAGTGGAATGTCAGCCTAAATGTTGTGGGACTTAAATCCCACAGTCCTCAAACTCAGAAGTGAGAGCCCTGGCAGCTGAGCTACAGCTGACATCTGAAAAAAACAGGAGGTATTCTCAAGGGTTTGGCAATCAGGCAAGATAGGGCCCTCAAGGCTCAATCATTAACCGAGATCAATAGATTACCAGAAATTAAGGGTATCAACAAATACAAGAACAGTGCAGGAAAATAGCGTAGAAATAAAAGATCAACCATGCATGTCATGTCCCACGAGTAAACATAAAAATGATGTTGAGGAAGCGATGGTATAACCTAGTGTTGGTAATAGTGATCCAGAACCCCAGGTTAATGTTCTGGAGACAAGGGTCAAATCCTACCACGGCAGCTGGTGAAATCTGAATTCAATATAAAAAATCAGGAATTAAAACAAAGGTGGCTATGGAATCACTGATGATTGTCATGAAAACCTATCTGGTTCGCTAATGCTCTTCAGGGAAGGAAATCTGCCATCCTTATCTGGTCTGGCTCACGTGACACAAGAGTAACAACAAAAAAGTTGACTCTTAACTGTCCTCTGATCAATTAGGGATGGAAATAAGTATTGGTCTAGCCAATGACACCCATTTCCAGTGAGCAATTTTTTTTAAAAGTCCAATTGAATGGTGGAACAGGCTCGGAGGGGGCAGCTGGTAGACCTACTCCTGCTCCTATTTCCTGTAGAATTCCTTTTGTCTCAATGGTGGATGGAGATGGTTTAAGTGGGCAAGGTGATAAGGTGAGGAAAATACAAGGAGTGGTTAGGGTTATATTCTATCAATAACTCAATCTTCAGATCAAGGTAACAGTGGCATGGTGGTTTGAGGGGAGGTAGCAGCTTGGTGGTGACCTTGCTAGACTTAAGATTCAGAGTTCAAATCCACCACAACACCTAGTGAAAGTTAAGTTTGCTTCATAAACCTGGAATTGAAAACCAGTCCATGAGGCTATCAACCCATCTGGTTCAATGTTTTCTACCAGGGAAGAACATCTACCATTCCTTAGCCTGCATGTGACTCTAGGCCCACAGCAATGTGGTGGACTCCCAACTGCTGTCTGAAATAACCAAGCCAACCACACTCAATTCAAGGGCATTTGGGGATGGGCAACAAATACTGGCCCTGCCAGTGACGCCCACATTCCAAATCAAACCATCTCAGACAATAAAGGTAATTTAGGCGAAGCAGGTAGAGTCTCAGTCACACCAGAATAGAGAATTGAAAAGACTAGCCATGGTTTCCATACTAGGCCTGTTTGGAAAAATCAACTGTTCTAGTGGTTAGGATCTGGAATGTACTGCCTAAAAGGCTGGTGGAAATAAGTTCAAGAGTAGCCTTTAAAAGGGAAGTCATTGAGTGTATTTAACTCAGAAATAAATTGGTTCTTGATTAGTTCGGGGCATCGAAGGTTACAGGGAGAATGGGGTTGAGAAACATATCAGCCGTGGTCGAATCATGGAGCAGACTGGAAGGACTGAATGGGTTAATTCTGCTCCTATTTCGTACGGTTTTATGGAATTGGATATGTAATTGAAGGAGGGAAAATTCCAGGGAGTGAAGATTGGGAATAGTTTGATTTCTTTTCCACATGGCTGGAGCAGAGTTGATGGGCCAAAGAACCTCATTCTATCCTGTATGGTTCTATGATCCTGTGACTCAGCATCTGTCTGACGCATCAAGGATCCTTATTTGGATAAGGCACCAGACAACATGAATCAGCAGTTTGTGAGAGAGTGAGGGAAAATAAGGGATATGCCGAGAACTTTCTAACACTAACCTATTTTTGAGGTGGTGGTCCATTAAACATCTCTAAAACTAACAGCTTTCTAATTCACTCAAAGCAGTAAATCAGGAGAAACCACTGTCATATACAGCTGGCAATATCATTGGCAAATGTACTTACTCATTTAATCTTTCTTTTCATCATGTGCTACCTTCATCATCTTGGTCAATGTGTTCCTGCAACAGAAAACATTTAAATGATCCTCCATGGTTTTGCTCTCTGAATAACAACTGCAGAAGTAATGCATGCAACTCCTAAGGGTTTCTATTTTCAGAACATTCAAGTGTCACTCTCAATTTCAATCACAACTCACTTTAGATTGTGTAACAACCTCAATGACGCCAAAAGCAGCTGCTCAAAGATTTGTGGCTTAGTGGTGAGAAAGGTGCAAGGGTGAAAAGTCAAAGCCAAGAAAATAAATAACTTTTATTTTAATTCATTCACACGATGTGGGTGTCACTGGTTAAGAGCAACACTGTGGATTGAGAGTCACACCTAGGCTAGATCAGGTAAGAACCCAGCCAATTTCCTTCCTAAAGAATATTAGAGTGAACCAGGTGGGTGTTTTCCTCCAACAATGGCTTCATTGTCAACATTAGACTTGCAGATTATTTACTGAATTCAAATTCCACGACCTGCTGTGGTACAATTTGTACCCAGACGTCCAGAACATGGCTTGGATTTTTGCATTACCACTCTAGTAAAACAGTACTATGCCATGACCTGCCCAGTGTAACACTAGCAGGAGAAGCTTTCTGAGTATTTTCATAAGGATAGTAAGATGCCAGATGTCACCTAAGATTCAGCGAATAGCACTCTCTGGGGCCTTGACAAGGTAGATGTAGAGGGGTGGTTTCCCTTTGTGAAGCAGTCTAAGAACAGAGGGCATAATCTCAAGACAAGGGGTCAGGACAGAGACAAGGAGGAATTTCTTCTCTCAGAGTGAACCTGTAGAATTCTTTCCTGCAGAGGCCTTAACAGATCTTGTGGTGCAGTAGTGCCCCTATCCCAGATCAAGAGGCCTGAGTTTAAGTCCCACCTGCTCCAAAGGTGTGTAATAACATCTCTGAACAGGTTAATTAGAAAAATAGGTTAAACAAAAAAAAAGGCTGTGTTCTTAGGCATATTCAAGACTGAGATATAGAGTTTTTTAATCAGTTAAGGAACCAAGAGTAATAGGGAAAAGCCAGGAAACTGGACCCGAGGATTATTAGATCAGCCATGATCTCATTGAATGGTGGAACAAACTCAATCGTCCTACTTCTGATCCTGATCTGAGTCAGAAGGATCATGATGTGGATTTAAGTCCTACAATGGAGACGTTAAGTCAAAATCTAGATTAGCACTCCCAGTGTAGCACCAAGCCTTACTGACAGAGTATTATCCTTTTGGTGGATGTTAAACTGAGACCCTCTCAGGAGAACGTAAAAGATTCCAAAATGGAATTTTGGAAAAACATGGAGGTCCCTTCTTTCCTAAACCAATGTTAATCCTTCAGCTAACGTGATTACAAGCATATTATCTGCTTAAGACACCTTTCTATGGACACTAATTGTGCAGTATTTGGCTGCCATGCATCCTACATTACCATACTTCAAATTTATGTTACTGATGATGAGGAGTTCAGTAACGTTCTGAAGTCTTCAAAACTGCTAAATAAAGGCAAAACCTTTCTTTTCACCTGGAATAAGAGCATACTTAAGTTGATGAACTGAAGGATGGATGCAGCAAAACACATCTTAGTGATAGTCAACATTGTCAGAAGATAATCACAGAGAAGATTGGATGAGGCAGAGATCAGGGTGCAGCAAGAAAAAGTACTAGGTATTGTATTATTCACCCTGTTCAGAAAGGTCATTACACAGCTATGGAGCAGGTGGGAGTGGAACCTGGTTTCTTTGGCTCAGAAGTGGGAACTCTACCACCGCACCACAAAAGGCCCACAAGTGCTAGATTTGAAGAGAAACAATACTTAAAAAAACCTGTTGAAAAAGTTATAGCATACCACTGGAGTAGGTGGGGCTTGAACCCAAGCCTCCTCACTCAGGGGCTAGGACACTACCACTGTGCCACAACAGCCCTTAAGACCCTGGAAAAGTACTTGCAGAGGACTTTTTGCTATTTAACCTATTTTCCTAATCAACCTCTTCAGAGATGTTATTACACACCTCTGGAGCAAGTAGGACTAGAACTCAGAGATAGCAGGAACTGCAGATGCTGGAGAATCTGAGAAAATTTTCTGAAAAAGGATCTAGGCCCGAAACGTCAGCCTTCCTGCTCCTCTGATGCCGCTTGGCCTGCTGTGTTCATCCAGCTCTACACCTTGTTATCTCAGGACTAGAACTCAGGTCGCTTGGTCCAGGGACACCAACACTGTGCCTACAGGCCTGGAAAAGTACTTGAGTTGAAGAGGATTTTTTTTATTATTTCACCTATTTTTTTTCCCTAAACAACTCGTTCAGAGATGTTATTACACAGCTCTGGAGCAGATGGGTTTGGAATCCGTGTCTCTCGGTTTAAGGGTAGGGACACTACCATTGCACCACAAGGGCCCTTTAAGGCCTCAGACAAGCACTTGAATTGAAGAGGAATAAGCTCGCAGCTCTAAGTGTTTACAGACCTCAGTAAATCAAGACAGAGCCTCCATTCACTACCTCCTCAGTGGGGAAGCTGCTTAAAACAAACTATCCGCAATTAACGAAGAATCACTCACTCAGCTACACGCTGCTCCCAGTGTTTATTCACATCAGACATGAATTGTTTTCCGTTTTATATACAGAGTAACACCTGGTGGGCTTTAAAGAATCAAAGACAAATTACAGCTGTCTTTAACTCGCTTGTTCTGTAAACAAGGCAATGGATTTATAACACAAGGCTGTCACCAGTCATTCAAAAAGAAGCTGCTGTCTTTGTAATCCTAGAAGGGTCGAAAGTCTTACCAAGAGACTGTCAGCTCTAACATCGCCCCGCTGTTTGTTTTGTACACCTCAGAGCCCTCTATCAGCACCGCCTTTTCAGCCAAGAGCTGCAAACAATGAAGCCATGCGTTCTGCAGAGAAGCAATGCTTGCTGTGAATCAGGTCAATGCGGAGAATCATTCAAAAACGGAGGGGCAACTGCAAGACTGCACTGAAAAACGGTTTTTTTTTCTCTCTCTCTCTGTTTCTGGAGCTTTACGGCAAGCGAGTGTCCGGGAGCACAGACTGGTACCACGCCGATAAGTGGAGCTATCGAACAATTTATGCCTAAAGAATTCAAAACAGCCCCCTTCCTTCCTGTCATTTTCTCTCCCTTTCATTTCTTTCTCGCTCTAATCAGATCACACTCCTTTTTGCAGAGGACTGACCTCACAGCTCGCTGGATAAGCACCCAGGAACAATAGGTGCTGTCCCGGAACCACAGCCCACAAATAAAAACTCATTATTTGGGCTTTGCACTTCTTAACGTTGACGCGGAATGTTGCAGTGAATCGTAGCAAAGTTATCGATTCACTTCAGAGAGACGTAGCCAATCTTTCGGCTTTATGACTCTAAGAGGTTCTCTCCCGCACTAGTTTCTCTCTTTTATATTTGTATTATCTTGGAATTGTGAGATTAAGGAAAAGGTCCCTGTTTCCCTCGGTTGAAAACATCAAATACTGGAGATCACAGCGGGTCAGACAGCATCCATGGAGAGAGAGAGCGCAAATTACTGCAGGTGCTGGACTCTGTACTGAAGGCAACAAATTCTGGAGATCACAGATTCCAGCATTTGCAGTAATTTGAGATAACAAGGTGTAGAGCTGGATGAACACAGCAGGCCAAGCAGCATCAGAGGAGCAGGAAAGCTGACGTTTCGGGCCTAGACCCTTCTTCAGAAAATGTTGTTATTCTCAGATTCTGCAGCATCTGCAGTTCCTACTGTCTCTGCAGTAATTTGCTTCTGTTTCCCTCAATCTTATTCCTGTTTGAAAATTAGGTCCTTTTCCAAGTTGACTCGAGCTAGCTCACATCCAACTTAGTTGCCACTTTGAAACAAATCCTGCTCACGCATCCTGAGTTTCTGATTTCCGTTTTGAGTTGAAGGCCATTCAGCCCATAGTTTTTGCGTTGGTCCATTGAAAGAGATGTCTAATTAATCATCCTGTGTTCTCTCTCTCTCAACAGCCGTGCAATTCTCACCCCTGCTGAGTATCAATCAACCTGCTTGTTTTGAGAGTCACTCCTGAATCTGCTTCCCTCACTGTCAGATCATAAGAGATAGGAACAGAACTAGCCTGTGGGATCTACTCCACCATTCAATGGGATTGATGTGGTTGATCTGATAATCCTCAACTTCACTTTCCTGCTTTTTTCCCCATAACCCTTGATTCCCTTACTCTGTCTCTGAATAGACCAAAAGACGTAGGAGCAGAAGTAACCCATTAAGCCCATTGAAGAACACATTTCAGAGAACTGGGTGAGGATTGTTTAGTCAGTGTCTAGGAATGCAGTCCACAATGACAGGGGTGCAGGAGGTGGGGAACATTGCCACTAAAAGACCATAATGCTTATTTAAGGCTTCATTTTGTGGCACCATGAGCTGCAGCAACAGTCTGGCACTTGACTTATGTGATTAAATCAAGTTGGGTCTCTGAGAATGCGTTTCAACAGTGTACGCAACATCTTGTCATTCCTCTGGAGGCAGTTCATGCAAAGCCACGGATGAAATTTTGAGGTCAATGCCTTGTTCTGTGTAGCTGTCAGTAAGATCTCGCTTGGGGAGGTTGGGACAAGGGTTTGGCGGAGGAGAGATGTGAGTGGATTGCACAGCTGGTGAGGGTGTCTGGAAGAATGAAGGCGTGTTAAGGTAGGCTGATGAAGGCCACCAGGTCTATTGAGGGACAATGAGAAGCAACTCTTGCTCTGTCCATAGAAACCACGGGAAGGTTAATGAAAGGAGCGCAGGAAATACTGGAGATCCTCTGCACTATGGGCATCATCTGTGGAGAGAGCGAGAGACACAGTTGATGTTTTGAGTCTGATATGACTCTTCTTCAGAATCATACCAGACTCGCAACATTACACTTGTTTTTCTCTCTGCACAGATGCTGCCAGGCCATTCTGAGTTTGTTTCAGATTTCAAGCATCCACAGTATTTTGCTTTTAAATTGGTAAAGGGAGAAATCATTCAAATTTGTGCGACATTGCCACTAGTA